GTATTCCTACAAAACAAGATTACAAATTTCATGGCTAATGACAGCACATTCATTTTTTGTCTTCTGTAGAGTCTAGTAAATAAGGTTCTATTTATCTTTATCTTTTATTAGAAAAGTATTGTTTTCTTAATATTGCAGCTGTATTTCTGACATGTTTCATTCAGCAAATGAAAGCGCTAATGATTTAGGCTTTTTGTTGTTGTTTTTTTAACCTCTGGGGTCCAGCTTTTCTTTCCTGTTATGAGTACTTTACTGAGATGTCTCAAACTGATAAAGATGAAGAACCCAGTTCTACCTGAAAAACACAGACACATATGCTTTTGGTGTTAGGTTAAGCTTAGATCTCAGTCGATCTGAGTTGCGTTCTCTGTGGGGAGGGGTTTAACAAAGAGGTATCAAGGACACCAAATGAAAATGTGAAGACTTTAGACATTTCTGGGAATAACATTTATTTTGTGATCTATTAATAATTGCCATTGGACAACTGAACCAACTCTTTAGCACAATTGATGGATGTTGGTGTTTCACCTTAACTTCCTTTCACCGTTTCCCTTTGATTCAGAGTACAGTCTCTTGAGATCTACTCCAAGAATATTGAATCAAAATAGGGGGTCAAAACCAACTCATTAATTGGAAGACAGAAAAATGCATCTCTGGGATGAAATCTATATAGTGAAATAACGCTAGGTTCCCTTCTAAGCTCTAAAAAGTATTTATTGTTACTATTATTGCTATGATAATTATTATTAATCTATCATTTCTGCCACCAAGATATTTAGAGTCTTAGGACCACAACTGTGTAAAACCCACAAAGTTAGTAATTCCTAACTATAAGAAAGTTGGAGCCTTAGTGGGAAGGAGGAAGTGGAAAGCAATTTGCATCCATTTCATTTTTCTGAATTTATTCTATACTGTAGGTCATACATATAAACTTCTCTAAGATCTTAATTGCAATTTGGCTTCCATAATCTAGAAGGAGTTGTTTTTTTGTTATTTGTTTGTTTGCTTGCTTGTTTTTTGTTTTTGCTACTCTTGGGGCTTGAACTCAGGGCCTGGGCACTGTCCCTAAGTTTCTTTTTCGCCACAGCGCCCCTTACAGCTTTTTCTGTTTATGTGGTACTGAGGAATTGAACCCAGGGCTTCAAGCATGGTAGGCAGCACTCTACCATTGAGCCACCTTCCAACCTTGAGGGAGCCTTATTATCTACTGGTCATTTGAACTCTCTGTAGTCCATCTCTTTTTCTTATGAGACCTAAAGGCAATTTACTCCAATTGGGAAGAAAAGGGTTTGTAGGCAAAGAAAAAAAATCTGAGAGATATTAAATAGATACTTTTTTCATTTGCAGGTCTTGGGACTCGAATTCAGGGCTTGGATGCTTGTCCTAGAGCTTTCTGGCTAGCATTCTATCACTTGGGCCACAGCTTCCACTTCTGGCTTTTTTATGGTTTTACTGTACTTTCCTGTCTGGACTGGCTTCAAACTGCAAGCCTCTGATCTCAGCCTCCTGAGTAGCTAGGATTAAGGTGTCAGCCATTGGCATCTGACAGAGATACTACTTTTGTGAGGAACACAATCACCATTTATGAATTAGGGGTTAATGCTCACCTTCATATTTACATAGTCAATATTTATTCAAATATTATTCTGGATTATTTTTATTTGTGACAGATAGCTTTAGTAGAAGTTTAGTGTTTAAGAGCTTGATTCTGGATTCTTAAAGCAAATATTCAGAAAAATGTCTGACTCATAAAAGGATTTAGTTCCTAGGGAAAAAAAATGGGGGTATAGGGAAAAATTGGGAAAATCATTTTTGTTGAAGAAATGTAAGCAATGTTATGATGATATTTATCTTTATGAAATCATAGAATTTAAGTAACAAACATTCTTTTAGCTCTTTATGGTAAGAATGTAAAATTCGAAATGGGAAAATTGTTCTCTAGGTTTAATTTAATATTATGAGAATATTTGAGAGTGAAACTAATTCTGTCAATCTTAACTGAGCATTCATTATGTGTTCTGCTCTCACAGTTTAGAGAAAAAAGGAGGCTTTCAGTTACTACAGAACAAAACTCATCACTACTGAAATTGTTCTTAAATGTAACTTTGGTAGCCCCAAAGTAGGTCTTGAGTGTGTAAATCAATTGCTTAGATCTGATTCATAAGCAGACCATTCAAAATCCACTTGAAATTAGAAAAAGAAATCACTGAAAACTTGATACAAAATGAAAACAAATTCAATTTATATGTAATTATGTAATTATTCAAGTATAGCACATACGAAACTGCCCTAATTAATTAAGTTAATCAGAAGGTAACCTGTAAAAGTCCAATGCCTTTTAAATGAAATGGGTAACAAGTAACAGAAGACATGGTAATAGACAGAAGGCCTGAGTGATTAGCCAATTATAGCGAATTTCTATCAAACCTCAGGCCTGGAAAAGAGTAAAATTTATAAAACTGAGGCAGAGAATTAGGATATGTTAACGAAGCTGAATGTTCCTGTAAACTTGAAGGATTAACAAGATGCCAAACTTTACATAAATGTCATTACCATTATCCATTTTTCTGTGTTCTTTAGGGTAGATCATATCTTTAGATAGGTTATACCCCAAATTGTGTAATGTTTCTGAGTTTTAATTGCTTTTACTTTGGGAATATGTCAAGGCTATGGAGACAGTTACCAGGAGATGCCAAATAGGATGTGTTGTCTAAGCTCATAGTCCTTTTCAATGTTAATCAGATCCTGGGCCATCCTTGTATTAAATATTTCTATGGCATTTTGCCCTTTCCCCTGTGTATCTAAGGAACTCACCAGCAATACATTATGGAGTAAATAAATTTAAGATGCAGAAATGTTCACTCTAAATATAATGGGTTGAGTTATTCCAGGCAGGGGGAATCGATGTCTGCATTATTTGTTAGCTCTTTCAGATTGGGAGCTCAGCCTCCACCTTGTTTATGTACTTCCTCCCATACTCCCTTGCAGAACAATTGAGTGCTTTTAAAATTGCATCTCTCTACCTGCCCATGTTCCTCAAGAAGCACTAATATTGGATTTCTGTTGTCTGCATTTGAATCACATAAAAGAAAAATACCAGTGGATTCAATGAAAAACTAATGAATTTGGGGCCATTCAAGATTGGTTTCTATCAAATGGTAATATACAGCATCAGCCAAAGGAGCTGTGGAACTTGTGGGTCTGAGATCTGGAGAAGCCTTCAGCCTTGTTATGAAGGATATCACAATGAGGACCTTCAGGAGAGGAGGAACTAGGGGGGAGAGTGTGACAATATTTCTGAATGGCTAGGCCTTCAATGTTAATATCCCTGCTAAGAAAAGAAATAAATCAGTGATAAGATGAGCAGATAGTCCTAATTAAAATCTAGATTTTAAAACTATTCATCAGAAAATCAGGTAATTTAATGTATCTGAATAATCATGATATAGTCACATCTAGCTCAGCCAAACATTCAGAGTTGGACTTGAACATAATAATTGTTGGACTGAATTATGTTGGAGAGGTAATGTCTGCAGAAAATCTCTTGATCCTATGAGAGCTTATTTATGAAAAGTATTAGAACAGGAAGTACTCAAATGTAGGAACACAGTGTATGTTTTTGCCTGAATGCTGTGAAATAGTTTTTGAATAAATGAGTTAGATGAATTAATACCCAATAACATGAAAAAATCAGAATTACAAGGTCACCTTTCTTTTACATGACTAAACTCCCAAAGGAACAAGTCATATCCCAGGATAGTAGGGGCATAGTATGGGGGTGTAATGCTAAGGCTAGAAACTCATAGAACTTCCTGGATCCAAATCCACTTGCAAGATAACAGTCAAGCTTCAACAAAATTTGAAGTGTTAAGTAATTAGAGGGTACAAAATGGAAGGATTTTATTTTTTATATATTCTTTTTTCCCCCACAAAGCTTAAATTTCTCTAGAGCTACCAACAGAAAATGTTTAGTGGCTTACTTTTTCTTAAAGAAAAAAAAAAGGAAAAAATTAAAGCAACCCAAACAATCAACTAGAACCTGTATTATTTATTTATTTTTATCTTTTGCAGAAATAAGGTTCTGATCCAACTCAAGCCTTTAATTTTGTTAAACATACACAGAAATTTGATGATATCTGTTCTCTATTATATACATATAAATATTTAACTTATAGGAAGTTTCAGAACAGACAACTTGGGAAAGTTGATAGGAAATATTCATAGGCTGCAGTTGCCTGCTGGACATTGTATTATATATAACTCACTATAAACAAAGACCAGTAAACATCAAAATGTATCTGGATCCAAATGGGGAGAACATTTTGGCTTTTAGTTGCCAAAGTCCATTCAACTTTAGCACGGCGGATACATTTTGAAGCATCACAGCGGTAGACATGGCATGACTCAGTACTAATTCTGCATTTACTACAGTGCTTCAACTTCTCCAGACATACACTGAACAAAATTAGCACAAATAGGATACCATGTTAACTGCTGTTGAAATCCCATGGAAAAAAATTGGCTTTTTTTTTTTAAACTTAATTCTGACACTTAAGCTCAGAATGATTTGTGAGGTTTGCGTGATATATACCAATCTTCATGGCTCCATTTTGGGTCCATGCTTTTCTGATCTCATTCCAATACAGGCTTCTCATGCCCTGGTCAGCAATGAATTTTGAGAATTTCTACTGGCCACTGCCCATTGGCGGTATTTAGACTGGAGATCTGGTTGCTCAAAGTTGGGTTCCATTCCATGGATTTATTTACCTATCAGGGGAGTTTCAGTTTCCCTGGGAACTTAGTGCTACTTCCATGGGATTTGATGCTTTGTTTATAAATTAATATTTATATATGTATGTTTTGACATATATAGATATAGGAAATACACACATTTAACACATTATAATATATATAAAGCACATGTATAGTCACATATATGTATGTATTGTCTTTTGCAAATGAAAATAGAAAGCAAGCAAAACAAGACTGACCTGACCTACCTGTGCTCGGCTCACATTCAACGAAATCTTCATCATCACTTGAACATTCAGCCGATGAAACAAGGTCATCTGATGTTGGCTGCTCATGTCAAGGGAAAATGGCATGGTGGGTGGGGGATGGGAGGGAGAAAACAAAGAAAGAAGATAAGTAAATCAATGTACAGCAACATCAGAGTCATGTCACTTTACCCTGCCTTTCACCATTACATTACTGAGGTCTGTTCACACCAGTTCAGCCAGTCTGCATGGTTCTTTGATGCTGAGGGACCGAAGAGGTTTCAGGAAACTCACGCTGGTCCCACTCATTCCTAAGAATTCCCATTCTGTGCCTGATGCTTGTTTCATGCTTGAGAATCAGAAGGGCAGGAGAAGGGCTATTGCAAAGTGGGCGATAGAAAAATTAGGCAAACACAGAATGCTCTGTGATTTGGGGAGAATTCCAGTGCATATGGTGTGTGGTCTCCAGTGCATGATTGGGTGCCTGTGAATCTATAAGTGGTGGGCATAATGAGTGAACACTGAGGAATGCAGTCTGTTCATCCAAGCATAACAGCTTCTCTCACTAGTGGTGATTCTTTTCCTTAATTGCTGCAATTAGCTGAATTAGTAACGGGACCAGCAGAGTGATAGCCTATGACAGTTTCCAGACACAGGTATAAGGCTCTTCCTGAAGACAGCAGAAACAACACAAATTTCCACTGCAATTGTACTAGTTCAACTTGGTTTCTTGATTTTTTTTTGAGTCACACAGAAACCGTACCATTTCAGGAATCTTAGAAAATACACAGAGGACTGTGAGTATTGACAGTAGCAAAAGTCCTTCTTACATACTAGGTCAGCTTTAATGATCACAGAAGACTGAGATGTATCAGTTGCTGGTACATGTTTTATGCATGATGAATATTGTTGAATGAATGGTTAATTAATGATCTACAAGAATATCTGCAAAAACAAACAAAAAAAACCTTTTGGCATACTACATGTTTGAGTGCTCAGTAGCGGCAGTTGCTTAATAAATATTCATTTCTTTTCCCTGCTTAACCTTAGTAATATTAACTAACTTGCTGATCTTCTTACTCCCAATGTAATGGAGCTCGGATCCATCTTCAAGATGAAAAATATCACAAAGAGATAGACCTCATCTATTGAACAGTCAGTTGCTGTGATTGACATATATATATATATATATATATATATATATGCCTATTAGTTGCTTTTTAATTAGACATAATTCTCAAACCATTCTTGGTTTAGTATTCTTGGGGTTAGTATCATACATTTAAACATGCCTAAATGGGAAATCACCTAAGTTTTTAAAGGATACAAATCTAGTGAGAAACATAGAAGAGATTTAACAGATGCATCTTTGGTAATATCTATATCTATGACCACTACGTTCCTCTTTACACCTTGTCTCATATGCCACTATGGGCAGAATTATTCCCATCCCCAATTATAGTGTGTGTGTGTGTGTGTGTGTGTGTGTGTGTGTTAGTATTAAGGTTGTCTCATATACCACTATGGGCAGAATTATTCCCATCCCTAATTATAGTGTGTGTGTGTGTGTGTGTGTGTGTGTGTGTGTCTGTGAGTGTGTTAGTATTAAGGTTTGAACTCTGGGCTTCACAGTTCTGGTTAGCTCAAGCTCTACTTCTAGATCTTTGCTGCTGGAGATGAGTCCTACAGATTTGTCTGTCTAGGTTGTCTTCTAATCTCAGTCCTCAAATCTCAGCCTCCTGAGTTGCTAAGATCACATCTATTAGCCACTGGTATCAGACATGTGCCTCCCATTTATATGCTGAAAGCTAAACTCCTCCTATATTCGAATGTGATTGCCTTTGCACACAGGTAATTAATGAGGTAACTAAGATAAAATCATTAGAATGGACTTTTCTCCTACCCAATAAAACTGGCACTACTCATTTCTTTTAAGGAGATTAAGACATATCATAGCAGAAGAAAAGTTGGTCATGCATAAACCGAAGTGAGAAGCAACACAAGAAGCCATCTCTGCAGATGCTTTGATTTCAGAATTCCAGATTCCACAATTGTAAGGAAATGAATTTTCTGTTGCCTTAGTTACCCAGTCTATTATACTTTATTATGAAGCTCTAGGAGATGAACATATATGTCACCTTGTATGTCAAGTGTTTCCAGAAACATCCTCTTTTAATTAGATGTGCCATGTGAAGGACTATTAGACCCATAATAGAAAACCAATATCAGGTCATGTTGGTGATGGGTGCTTTAGACCACATTATTGATCTCTATTCCATAGATGATAGGGAGTTATTTCATAATATCCTGTTCCTCCTTCAAGTTAGTAGAGAAAACAATCTGAACAAATGCTTTTTTTTCTTTCAATTAGACACTACTGAATTATGTACTTCAGATACAGAAGCTGAAACTGGTTGGAGTTGCTGTACCTTGAGGTATCATTGCTTGTTCCAGAGAAATGAAGAACATTCCTTTGGCATTTATTGCTGCAAGAGGATCTTTAACAGGCCCAATTCCCGTTACTTGAGGAATAGAGATGGGAAGGGAATCAATGTAAGTGGCACTGATGGAGAGGACGATTGTGGGGCAGGTGCCATTTTAGAAGGGCCACAGTCATTGTTGGAGCATTGTAACGCCTATGCTTTGTTGAGAAAACAGATTCCTCCAAGGCAGAGTGAAATGGCTAGGGCTGGGGCGAGGGAGAATCTTCCATATCACAATGATCTGTGACCCTCTAAAAGATCAAGGTTGCATAAGTGAATATCTTTGGCATTAAAACTTTATGGAAAAAGTTAATTAGGAAAGAAAATTGAGAAATTTCATCAGGGTTCCATTATGTAAAAGAACTGAGAATATGCTCATGTTTGATATTCACTTAGAAATTCTTAGTGACCTGAGTATCAGGACCTTACGAAACGGTCTGTGCAGAGTATTGGGGTCGAGTGCTGAGTGAAATCCCGAATCTTAAGAAAATTCCACGAGCTTCTTTCAAGAACTAAAGGCCAGATAATAATATTTTAAAAGGCCATTGAAAGCCAGCATCAGTAATTCACACTTGTAAATCCTAACTACTTAGGAGGCTGAGATCTGTAGGATTATGGTTCAGAGACAGTTCAGGTAGAAAAGCTCACTAGATTCTATCTCCCAAATACCCAGCAAAATGCATGCCTGGAGGAAAGGTTCCAGTAGTAGATTGCCAGCTGAGCCAGCAAGCCAAGATCAGTGAAGGAGAGTCAATTGAACAAATGAATACAATGTAAAACCCCAATAGCAACCAAAATACAGATTCACATTATGTTAGCAGAACCAGACTCAATTCTAGGAGAGAGAGCTTTATTTTTATGAGTCCAAAGAAATGATAACTGTTTTCCAGGCTCTTCCCCTTAACATAAGTTTCTCCCTCTTGTAATTTGATGATACTGTCTTCCATGCTGCTGGCACTATCCTATTCCATCTCTATCTTTAGTTCCATCTCTCCTAAATTGAGTCCTAACCAGCTTCTGCAGACTCCATATACCTGCTCTTAAACTTTCTGAGCTCTGCCCTTCTGCAAGAATTGCTAATCTGTATGAACTTGTATAACTACAACATGCACCAGAACCCAGTGTTACCGAGCTCCCATATTGGAGCTTAGACTCCAAGAATGTTAATGGCTATCTGTATAGCTCTGTGTGTGTAAGAGCAGCCTCGACCACATAGAGCACACCTGACATCTCAGGTCTTCAACTGACAGAGCGGGAGTGAGGATAGAGGATGTGAGTGGGGAAGAGTTATTTCACTAGACAACTAACTTATTCAGCCAGGCGATCAAGTCATCAATCACTCCTAATTTATTAAATTAGGGTCAGTATGCACTCTACCTTTAGCCCCTAGTAGAACTGTTCATTACTGATAATTCATTACCTACATTTTATTGTACCCACATCATTTTTTTTGTAGAGGGATAAAGAAAAATACACACGTAAAGAGCTTCAAAAAGTCACTGTTTCCAATAATGCTAAATCTAGCCATAGAGATGCTTCTGCCCCTCCAACCAAATTCATCATTGTTTAAAGTCACAGCCAACACAAACTCCCAAAGCAATTACAAAGATCACAGCCACTCACTGCCTAACACAAGGCAATGTGTTCTAAGAGAACCTGGCATCCAATATTGGCTAGGGCTGGGTAGCTTTTGGAAAACCAGCAGCATTAAATTGCAATTTACAAAAAGAATTGGTGTTAAGACGGTTACTATATAGGGAATTTAAAAACAAACATTATTTCTGTCTTTGACCCCTAGAAAACAATTTACAAGCCAAGTTTTTTGGGGGTAGGGGAGGCTGGAAGGTACAACTAGTGATTATATTCTAAAATAATGGCCTTGTAACTCAAAATTGCTATCAGAAGACCCAAGGCTGTGTCCTCTTTCAGACACAAACAAATTTAGAGTCTAGTGCTAGACTTTGAAAGACAAAGTATATTTCTTTGATTCCATGGTCAGTGGGGCATGCTTTTTTGATGCAGATAGAGATTCCAATTAGAATTGTTATGAATTGAACAGAACTGTTGACTCATGTTGTTAAAGAAAAGGCAGGGCAATATTAATCTCTGTCTGTCTGTCTGTCTGTCTGTCTGTCTGTCTCTCTCTCTCTCTCTCTCTCACACACACACACACACACACACACATTTTCCCATAATCATATCCAGTTTAGTTTCTGAGAAGTTTAGTTAGAACTGCTGAGAAAAAAATGGGTAAATGGAACTTTCTCTACTATTCATATTTACTACATGCTTTATCCAGGCTTTGCATTAAGCAGTTAGCACATACTAATTCTTTTAGAACTCACAAGAACCAATGGGATCAACACTACAAATGTTCTCTCAGGTGACAATATTGCTCTAGGAGTATTTCCTATCTATATAGCTTTGTTGGAATATCCACATCGTTTCCATCCATGTCAAATTTGCTATATTTTCCCCTCTACAATGGCCATCAAAAGCTTTCATAATTCCCAGTGACTAAGCTTAAAGTGTTTTTATAAATCCATTTGCAAATTCTATACATTTTAAATACCAATATTGTTGTAAGTTATTTAAGGAAGCA